TAGGAATGTAACGCATGTGTGCGAAATTCATCCCAAAATTGCTCACAGCAGAGCAGAAGAACATTCGCTTAGAAATCGCTCTGGACAATCTGGAAATGGTCAATAATGATGATAATGTACTTAGAAAAGTTATTACAGATGATGAATCCTGGGTTTCTGGTTATGATCCTGAAACAAAACAACAATCTTCACAGTGGAAGTATTCTGAATCGCCAAGATCAAAAAAAGCACGTCAAAGTCGGAGCAATGTTAAGTCAATGTTGATTGTTTTTTTCGATTGTGAAGGTGTTGTACATCACGAATATGCACCAACTGGTCAGACAATCAATAAAGAATACTACGTTCAAATTTTGAAACGTTTGCGTGATGCAGTAAGAAGAAAACGGCCACAATTTTGGGAAAATAGTGACTGGCTACTCCATCACGATAATGCGCCACCGTATTCATCCAATCTTGTACAGCAGTTTTTGAGCAAACACAATATCGCATTGCTTCAACAACGTCCATACAGTCCCGACATAGCCCCTTGTGAGTTTTGACTGTTTCCAAAACTAAAAAAACCATTCAAACGACACCGATTCGATGACAAAACAACGGTTGAAAACAATGCGACGAGTGTACTTAAGGCTATCCCTAAAAGTGAGTTCCAGGACTGTTTTGAAAAGTGGAAATATTGATGGAACCGTGTTGTTCAATCAAGTGGGGATTACTTTGAAGGATGCCACCCACCAAATGGTAAAGAATAACGCTAGCACGAAAATATAAAGGTAGGCCCGATACTTTCCGGACAGACCTCATATAACTAAAAGTTTTAGTATACTAAATAAAGTACTGAATTAGCGACGAAAGCAGATGAGTGTTAGTTGCTGTGTGTCGGATAATGACTGCTCCTCTCAGCTCGCATTAGTTTCATAAGTCACGTACGAGATAGAAAGGAGTACGAAAATTCTAATCAGATTTCGTTCGATTTATAACCGGTCGGCTAGTGGTAATTTGAAGAGATGGGCTCTGCTCAGGAGCAAGTAGTCGGACTTGAGGATTCTAAGGTAGCCTCAGGCAGCAATTGATTAGAGATAAAACATCGAAAATGGCCGACACTCTCATTAATATGTCATTAGCATACCGACGCGCATACCAGGACTAGCCTGTCCTTCACAATTCTGTCGTTAACTACGGGGAAGGTATAGGGTTAGAGGTTAATGAATTTCCACTTATTTTATTAAACGATCACCTCTATCCTATTAAAAAAAAAAAGATCTACACCCATGGTCTTCCTAAAAATTGAATAACCTAATGCTATTTCCCTACAGCTTTATGAGTCGCTTTTCGTTGGCGTATCGCGGCATGATCGCAACACGTACTCACAATAATTATAGGTTTCAGTCGACGGGTTGAATTGTGCAATGAAAGAAAGTAAAAGAAATGACCACTTCCGTTCATTTCTTCCGATCAACCATAGGTCAGATTAGTTAGTCGAAATGCTAGAAAAATTTGGAAAAGCTGTCGGTTCGTAAACTTCCGATCGCGACTTAAACTCAAGTTTACTGGGCTCCAGTGAGGAAGGCATTAATAAACAAGATAAGTCACCTTCAAGTCGAATCACCTTCACGTTTTACTCTCTCTCTCTCTCTCTTTCTTTTTCGACATAACAAATGGCTCCCTTTGCCTCTGCTTCGTCCGTTGTTTGATACTTAAGAAGAAACAGTACGTCTATACTTTCGCGAGGGCTGCATGAAATAGGACGTGATCAAGCGTGGTATCTTGTCGTTTAACTATCGGTTTTCCTCCTAGCTGCTCGCGTACTTTTATTTTATTGGTTCCGCATGGTGCCATTTAATTATCAGCGCTATTTGGCATTTCTATCGCTTATAATTTTCCAACTGGTCGGTTATGATGACGCATAATTACTCTATTTGGAGGTATGTCTTTTATTTAGTTCTAATTGATCAGTCAAAAGACATACGGTTTCATCAACTTATTAACTGAGAAATAATCCTTATTTGAAACAAAGAAAAATATTTACTACTCCAGTGGTTAATATGAACTTTTTACTCTGATGTGCTTACTCGTAACGCGATAGTATGCTTATTGTGTATATTCCTGTTAATTACTTTCATTTAAATGCACATAATGGCTGCGAAGATGTTTTGTTAGTACTCTTACAACCTGACTCGATATTATTCATTTTGCGTAATACATAAACCATTCTATACTCTTGTAATTTTTTTTCAATCATCAATGTAAATTTAAATCTATCGAATACATACTTTTCTTGTTACATATGCCTGACTTTCGTACTATCGCTTCTACTATTTTCGCGTTCTTTAGCAATTGGTTGTTGAACCGCATGATACGAGGGGGGGTCAATAAGTCTTTACAAAATCCAAGAGATGGCGCTCGTCATGCTTAAATTATGATGCTATTGGCAAGCAATACTACGAACTAGATATCGTACAAAGTTTCACTTCGATTCATTAAGTCGTTTTTTTGTGAGCGTTGGTTAAACAAAAAGTTATTGGTTTATTTAAAAAATGGAAAAAACAGAGTTTCGAATGGTGATAAAACATTTTCATTTGAAAGGCCTTACATTTAAAGAAATCACAGTTGAGTTGAACGCCGTTCATGGCAAGTCTGCCCCTGTGTTTAAGACTGTTTATAACTGGGTAAATGAATTTAAACGCAGCCGTACAACCACACAAGATGAACCTCGTTCAGGACTCCCCGTAGAAGTGAGTACGCCTGAAATGGTCAACAAAATCCACGATATGGTGTTGAGTGATAGAAGATTAAAATTGCGAGAATTAGTTGAGGCCACAGGGGTATCAAAGGATACAATCATTTCAATTTTGCATGAAAAATTGGGGATAAAAAAAATATCAGCAAGATGGGTGCCCCGTTAGCTCACTGTGGAAAACAAACGAACCCGCGTGGTCACCTCTGAGGCTCTTTTGGCACGTATACGTCGTAATCTGGAAGACTTTTGGCGTCGACTCGTAACTGTAAACGAAACATGGGTACACCACTACACCCCTGTAATCAAAGAACAGTCCAAACAATGGATTACCGCAGGAGAACCAGCCCCAAAGAAGGCAAAGACAGTAAAGTCAGCTGGCAAGATTATGGCCACGGTTTTCTGGGATGCGTATGGAATCATCTATTATTAGGTTAGTTGAGAGAAAAAATCAGGGAAAAACGTTCTCACTTGAACAAAAAAAATGCCTCTTTCTTCAAGACAATGCTCGAGTTCACACGTGTGCAGTTTCGATGGCAAAAATTAACGATTTAAAGTTCGAATTAATTGACCATCCGCCATATTCGCCTGATTTGGCTCCCAGTGACTTTTTCTTATTTCCTAACCTCAAAAAATGGCTTACCGGACAACGATTCACGTCGAATGAAGAAGTCATCGCCGAAACAAATGCCTATTTTGAGGGTTTTTAGAAATCATATTTTTCTGATGGCTTAAAAAAACTGGAAGGCCGTTTAATAAAATATATCGACCTTCAAGGAGATTATGTTGAAAAAAAAAAAAATTACATACACAAAACTTTTTTTTCCTTCTTTTTGTAAAGACTTATTGGCCTCCCCTCGTAGTATAAAAGTATATTGAGTGCCAATGGATTAAAATTGGCAATAATAGTCTTGTTTTATTCATAAGATACTATTTTGTTCATCAAAAACTTTTATAATAGTTAAAATTATGTGGACACTGGTTAGTTGAACTGTATCCGTCCAACATATAAATTAACTTAACATAGCACATCACATTCAATTCCAGCAATTCGAAATGTTGTCTCTTCCAGATTCTTTCTATCGAATTACAATAAGGAAAGAGGAATTTACAACTTAAAAATAACAAAGGCCGACAAAATTTCAAATTGAAAAAACCCAGACACGTGATTAGGTGTACCCGGAAGCTTTTGATGTCCTGAATCCAAATCTGGCATCAGAATTCGTCCATCATCTCTGGTTTTCGAGATATTTTAACCTAAAAGTGTAAAAAATACTGTTTCTTGCTAATTTTTAAGTTACGTGACATCCTGAATAAATATTTTTTTTCTAAAATCGAAAATATCACCTGAAAGTATAACTTTTACCTTTTAAAATCCTTTTTCCAGACCTGAAAAATCTTTTTTTTTTCACCGAGACATCGTTTGAAGTTTTATATTTTAGTGATTTCGAGAAAATTGAGTTGTGAGGATCAAGGGTTACTGCCATTCAGGTTACAGGCTCTGTGGGTTAAGGAAATTGGGCTGTAAGGGTCCGGCGTTCTTGACATACAGGTTATAGAGCTCTTGGATGAAGGAAATTGGATTGTAAAGGTCCAGGGTTATTGCCGTGTAAATTACAAGATTCGTGGGTGAAGGAAATCGGGTTGTAAGGGTTCTGTGTTACTGCCAGTGAAATATATATAGATCACTTGCATCCAGGTTCAGTTTTTTCAGCTTCAAAAAATGTTGAGTAAGAATTCCTGGCACTTAAAGTTACTCTCGAAATCACTAAAATGTAAAACATCAAATAACGATATCTCGGTGAAAAGAAAAAGATTTTCGAGGTATGGAAAAGAAATTTTCAAGGGTAAGAGTTACACTTTAAGGTGGTATTTGCGGTTTGGAGGAAAAAGATTTATCCGAGGTTTGACTTAACCTGAAAATTAGCCAAAAACAGTGTTTGATATCTTGAGAACCGGAAGTGATAGACGATTACGTCTGATTTGGATTCAGCGCATCAAAAGCCTTTAAGTACACCACCTAGTCACGTGACTGCATTTTTCTGTTTGGCTGCCTGTGTAATAAATCTAATACTTTATCCTATAGGATATGATAGTAAGTAGGTAGTATGGCACGATTGTACCGCATTCTAAACTTTTCGAAGTTATGTTTATTTGGAATTTTAATAATCGTCATTATTAAAAATAATTATATATTCATTTTAACAATAATAGAATATAGAAATGAATTAAGTTTTTATTCGGTTGGTAATAATAATAAATTTTTCAGATTATGCAAAGCAATGGGAAGAAACTTTACTAAAGCAACGTGATATACTGGCCGAAGGTCTAACTCAAGTTGGCCAATTCCGGAGTCAACTTTTACAAGAAGAACAAATCAGCCAAAAAATGACTCGTACAACAAATACAAGATTTGACTAACAAAAGGTGAAGTTTAGTAAAATGTGAAATAAATCATTGGTGTATACTTTTTTCAAATAAGTACATTAATATAAAAATAATTCGGTTTTTATATAAGACAATGTGACCAATGTAAATAAACATATTAGATATCATCTTAAGCTAACTGTGCCATTTATAACGTAATTTATAATATTTTGCTTAATTTTTCATCTTTTATCATTTACTCGTTTATAAAAATTATCAATTTTAATTATATTGAAAGTTGCTATATTTACAAAAGTGATTGCACTAATTGTTCTAATAAGATAAATGAAACTTCTATATATAAATGCGTAAAAAGGTTATAAATAACTACATATCTAAATAATTAATCTAAAAAGTTGTCAAATTATTGTAAGCAAATAATTTTAATTAAAAAATTTTAAATTGGTATTAAAAATGTTTTTCATTATTTTTTACCTAGAATCCATTGTAGCGATCAATTCTGAAAATAATAACCTTCCGAATAATTTATTTACCTAATTTTGTATAAATACGTATGATAAAAGAGAAAACATGGAAAATTTGTTCTTCATTCTTGGTATGTATGGCATAGTTAGGTTAATGGTATCAGAATTTAATTTTGCTCGAAATCTGATACAGTTACTTTTACTACCCATGAAGCCTTCATTCATAATTTTTCTCCTATTTATAATCGGTGTGTTCGATTTTTCAAAAAAGCAACTTACAATAAATTTTCTTTAAATGATATATTATAAATAATTGGAAACGAAAAAAGATAACAATATAGTTTGTTTGTTTTTGCTTCATTGAGGTACAAGCTTTATTTTCGTGAAAATATTGATGTTCGTTTATATTGATATAACTTTCAATTACTTGTATCATGTAGATTCTAATTAAAGAATATTTTTATATTTATGTGGGAGGAAATGGAGATAAATGTAAAATTAACCATTTAACGTAAATTAAATAAGTACTGTGCTTACTTACGATATACAGTCAAGAGCTAAGGTGCTTAGTTTTTCATAGTCATCTGAGAAGTAAAACACCGCTCGAGTGCACTCAACCTTTATCGCTACTTACACATGAAGTTACATATAGTAATAATGTTATTTTATCTTTGATTTTTTCAACATTGTACATATGTGTTTCTATTTCCAACTTTTACAAAGGACCCCACACAAACCTTACGGAAAAAGACTTTCTGTCGAAATGGTTTAAAATTTGGGATTAGGTAGCCAACATCATATAGATCAAAAGTCTCCATGGGCGCATCGACCGGCTATGACTAGGTTTCGAGATATGATGCCTCAAATGTAGGCCAAATGATGGATTTCTGAATTACCGGTAACGTCTGCGTGATCAACTTTTAGTATGCATATGTTGATACGCGCACCCATACAAATAACATAGCAAACAAATAAAGAATTATTAATATATGTATGCATATATATAGACATGTATATATACATACATATATCTCTCAAAAAATCATATCGACGGCCAAGCAACCGCATACGTGTATTATTGGGTTATTAACATCATATAAGTATATACGCTATATATGTGTAGCCCTGTTCAGGGCAGTTGGAGACCTACACTGTACTGCGGTGATTTTCTCTTCGACAGTCCTTTTCAGGATAGTTGGAGATACTCTCTGCACGGCGGTGTTTCCCTCTTCGACAGTCCTTTTCAGGATAGTTGGAGATCTTCACTGCACTGCGGTGATTTTCTCTTCGACAGTCCTTTTCAGGATAGTTGGAGATCTTCACTGTACTACGGTGATTTTCTCTTCGACAGTCCTTTTCAGGATAGTTGGAGATATTCTCTGCACGGCGGTGATTCCCTCTTCGACAGTCCTTTTCAGGATAGTTGGAGATACTCTCTGCACGGCGGTGATTTTCTCTTCGACAGTTCTTTTCAGGATAGTTGGAGATACTCTCTGCACGGCGGTGATTCCCTCTTCGACAGTCCTTTTCAGGATAGTTGGAGAAACTCTCTGCACGGCGGTGATTCCCTCTTCGACAGTCCTTTTCAGGATAGTTGGAGATCTTCACTGTACTGCGGTGATTTTCTCTTCGACAGTCCTTTTCAGGATAGTTGGAGATACTCTCTGCACGGCGGTGATTCCCTCTTCGACAGTCCTTTTCAGGATAGTTGGAGATCTTCACTGTACTACGGTGATTTTCTCTTCGACAGTCCTTTTCAGGATAGTTGGAGATACTCTCTGCACGGCGATGATTTTCTCTTCGACAGTTCTTTTCAGGATAGTTGGAGATACTCTCTGCACGGCGGTGATTCCCTCTTCGACAGTCCTTTTCAGGATAGTTGGAGATACTCTCTGCACGGCGATGATTGTTTTTGTACAGCTTTTTAAAATCCTGTTGAATCTTTGATATTTGGTTTTATTTCCGAGAGTTCCTATCAAAGCACCTAAATAATGACTTTCCGCGCATTAATACAGTGTTATGTCTGTGGTAATCGTCAGATACCACGTATTACTGCATTTATTGGTGATAAAAATGCTCTTCTACGTGAAATCGCAATTGCAAGACGCGACGAAAATGGTATACCACCAGCTGAGATAACTCCCAATACTCGCGTGTGTAATAATTGTATAGTGTCAATGCGTCGAGAAATAGAGATTATGGCCAATGATCCTCAATGCTTGAGATTAAATGTTTTATCACAGATTTCTTTTCAATCGTGCCTTATATGTAATGGTCATAATGATATCCACAGACTGACATTAGAATGTAGGATACATATTTTCGTAAAGAGAAAGATATATGTTCCCAGAAAATATGTGTGTTATAGAAATCATTTTAATGATAGAGAATTTTTGACAGAAGCTCAGATAGACGAATTGAGATATATCAATAGGCCATACATTATAAATGGTCAAGAGTTGCAATCATTTTTAGAAGGTATGCGTGGAGAAATAGAACAAGGTGATCGTCGCAGGTACACAGATGAGCACGACGTGTCTGACGAAGAGTTTCGCACGCTTTATTCTATAACTAAAGTTGATTTTAATGATCTATTTTCTTATTGTGATCCAGTACCTATACCAGGAGGATACAGGTATATTAGCAAAAAGGATCTTCTCTGTTTTTTATGCAAGTTAACTCAAGGTCTTAGTGACGAATTTTTATGTGTAATGTTTCGTTATACTTCGAGGCAGGCTACAAGCATGGCAATAAGTACAGTCAGACAATCATTATCAAGTAGATTTTGTCTCGAAAAGATTGGATTTGAAGCCATTACCAGGAACAAATACATAGAAAGACATGTCACACCTTTTGCAAACCAATTGTACATTCCTACGTCAGAAGATCCAAAAGCCATTGTTTACATTGATTGCACTTACATAGATATTGAGAAGAGTTCCTGTTTTCAAGTTCTACGTCAATCGTATTGTGTTCATAAGCATAAGCATCTTGTTAAACCATCAATGATTGTTGATCCCGATGGCTATTTTTTGGGTATCCAAGGACCATATTTTTCCAACGCAGTTAACAATGATGCTCGCATACTTTTGAATGAGCTTAATCGAGACGTAAATGGAATGCGGGATTTGTTTCAAGAGGGCGATATTGCTATAGTCGATCGTGGGTATCAAGACTCAATTCAAACTTTACAAGAAATAGGCCTCATACGAAGATGCCACCATTGATAGATCGCAACGAAAATCAGTTTCAATTTGAAGAAGCAAATGCTTCACGTTGAATTACTAAAACCAGGTGGATTGTTGAAGCACGGAATGGTCACTTGAAAAGTATTTTTAAAATATTTTCAAATACTGTACCAACGTCTCATGCTGCAAACTTGTCTGACTTTCTTTGCATTGCTGGTGCAATTATAAATAAGTACTATGGGCCTATAACCATGCCAAACGCAGACGTAGATTTGGCCAACCAAATGCTTCATCGAGCAGAAGAAGAAAATGTAGTACAGGCAAGAGTAGAGGCTGAAAATCTAAGACAAAGAAGAGCGCGCTGGCTTCTGCTCACTCCAGAGCATGTTCCGCTATTTCCCGAATTAACTGTAGATGATTTACATTCTCTGACATATGGAACGTATCAAGTTAACTTAGCACCTTCTTATATACAAGACAGTTCTTTAAGAGCCGATCAGGAAGACGGTGAACAAGAAGACATGACTTTCCAAATCGACTTAAATACGAACGAAATAGGATTTATAAGAGTCAGGTTGCTTTCCCGTTTCAGAAATGCTACTAAACATCAATTATGGATTGCTTTTAATCCAGAATATGACGCCGAAGAAGAAAATAACGCTATAGACGGATATTATTGTACTTGCAAAGCAGGAGCTCGAACTTTAGGTACCTGTGGTCACGTAGCTGCTGTTATCTAGTACCTTGGATACGCAAAACACCACGGAAACGTTCATTATCCATCGCTTCGACTTTTACGTACCATAATGGATGCTCAAATGGAAATAGACAATCCCAATGATATTGAAATAGTAGATCCGAATAATCTGAATCAATAATGGATTGATATTAATGTGAATTTTATATATATATGCATACATATATTAATAATTCTTTATTTGTTTGCTGTGTTATTTGATTGGGTGCGCGTATCAACATATGCATACTAAAAGTTGATCACGCAGACGTTACCGGTAATTCAGAAATCCATCATTTGGCCTACATTTGAGGCATCATATCTCGAAACCTAGTCATAGCCGGTCGATGCGCCCATGGAGACTTTTGATCTACATGATGTTGGCTACCTAATCCCAAATTTTGAACCATTTCGACAGAAAGTCCTTTTCCGTAAGGTTTGTGCAGGGTCCTTTAAAAAATGTATTTCTGAGAAAAACACGTTTAAACTTAGATACATGAAAAATTTTTGCATTTGATGTACTCACATCCGTGGGAAATATATTGTTTACAATGCAAAATCAACAATGATAAAGTTTTTCGAATGGACAAAAGCACTTTTTTAGTCAATTTTGATGCGCTGATCCTGAATTTCATGTCGTTATGCTCAAGTAGGTATTTATTAGTTTAATTTAATTTACAAGTTAATATTGTTAGTTATTTTGCAATAAATAATCATATTGTTAATTCGAATATGCGATTATGTCCGCGACGTATTGAAACAGAGAAGCAAGAATTTGACACTTTGGTAACTAATTATTCACTAAGTTATCAATAAATAGAAAATTTATAATTTTTTTAAACAATTAAAATTGCATTGTTAGATAGCGAGTCGATTGTACATATCTGTAAAATTAATGATTATGATTGTCACTAATTTGCTGTTTTTAAATGGTTAAAAAAGAAATTTGCAAATTCATTTTTAAATTATTATTCAAAATTACAAGCGATTTTTTTATGTAAAAATTTTCCCTAAATTTATTGTAAAATTGGCTTTATTTGATTATTGTATAGTATTACTTATAACTCTAAAAGGCGACTTTTCCACGAGAAACGATTTATGTTAAAAAATTCGTTATTTCATATTTAATTTTTTAAGTCATAAAATTGCAATCTCGATCGAGCCATTTTGCAACAAAATATATGCAAAGGTTAGATCAATTTCAGAAATAGCGTTGTAGGGACTACCAAGCGTAGAAAGGAGCTCAT